GCTGGTGCAGGAAGGCCAGTGGTCGGCAGCAAGAACTCTCAAACCTCGTTATGTAAAAAAAGCAAAACAACAAAAACCGAATCATCAGTGTATCACAGTGTAGGTGCAGGGGCACCTACTGCTCAGAGCCCCACCTCCACTGGGGCTGTTGCTGCCTGCTGCCCCCGTGGGAAAGCCCCCCATTTCACTCCGTGGCATGGTCTCAACCTACTGCTACTGCTGGAACTCAGTCAGAAAATCCTCAACACAAAATGTTTCATTTTGTATGTTCAAACCTCATTTGACCTGACTTGTAATTCCTCTACTGACCAGTGGGTGGCCAATGCGGTATTGAACTAAAGATATTTAACAATTCTTTCTGTTTGAATGTCATTTGAAAAGACCAAGGAATATTCAAGGAAAATGATATCATCTTTTGTTGCTGTGTTATTCACACTTTGTATTTCCAGTTTGAAATCCTCCTTTACTATGCCTTCCACAGAATTGTACTGTTGCCATTGTCTTCCTGTTTGTATTCACTTTTAGATAAAGTTAAATGAAAGACAAAAAACAGCAAAACTAGCGAAAGACCACGCGATCTTGTTATTCCAGATGGGGATGTGATTTTAAAAAAATGATTCGATCATGTCAACATTCCAACGTTTGACTGTCACTCAACTCAAAACCATGGCAACTCTAAACATTAACGTCACTAATGGAAGCCGCTAAGCATCATGGGAAGTGCCTGATGAAAATGATCCGCGCTGTAAGCGTGAAATAAAAGTATTGTGGCTGTGTTAATTAAAAATATCAGTCACTATGTTGACGAGGGGACTTCGTTGTATGAAACCGAACAAAATATATTTAGTGCATTTTGTTTAAATATGAACGTTGAATTTGTGTTGAAGAACTTACAAAAGATAATAAGCAAATAAAGGGCCAACGATATTTAATACGTGCCTCCAAAAGAATTTTCATTTTTGACAGCTGGCCAGTGTAATCATAGACATATATGTCTATGTTAGTGACTTTATGAGCCTGATGTATCCCGACACCTGCTACTATCGAATTCGGATCACGTGACTGGATTTTTTAACGTTATAATTCTATCGCGTGATTCTCAGTCTAGCCATAAGAAGTCACCATGGCAACGAGTAAACATTACATCATCATTCGAACACGCAAGTGCGCATGTGTCATCCAGTGACGTATGGAAGCAGAGTTTATATAAATAGACCCTCAGATCCTCTAGAAAGTAACCACAGCATCACCGCTGAACCACGCCTCCCTCTGGAGCCCCATGGACTCCCCTGCAGGGTGTGGCGATTAGTAGGAGGGGAGGTGGGGTCCTCCTGGTGTTGCTTTTGGTTTTGCCCCTCCTCAGTGAAGCATGGGTCTGTGGACCACTTCCTGCCAGCCTGAGGAGTCTTAGGGAGGGGCAATCTCCTCAGGCTGGTGCAGGAAGGCCGATTGTCGGCAGCAAGAACTCTCAAACCTCATTATGAAAAAAACCCCAACAAAAACCCAATCATCAATGTATCACAGGGGTTTTTGCTGCCTGCTGCCCCCCTGGGAAAGCCCCCCATTTCACTCTGTGGCATGGTCTCATTCAGAAAATCCTCAACACAAAATGTTTTATTTTGTATGTTCAAACCTCATTTGACCTGACTTGTAATTCCTCTACTGACCAGTAGGTGGTGAATTAACAAAAGATTTTTAACATTTTCTTCTATTTTCATATATTTTTAGAGAAACAAATACAATCCAAAAATAATTTGATCGTCTTTCAACTCTTTCTGGATCAGGCTTTAAAGGGTTAATCCTCATCATATTAACATGGGTATCATTCCATCAAATTCCTGAACTGTGATTTTAGTCAGGAGAGACTCATGTTTTTTACTGGAGCAGATCATCAGGGTGGAAAGGCTTTAATTATTCGGAAATACAGCATTGTGTCAACGTTTGTTTTTGACAACTGAAGCAAACAAGCTGATTGGCCGCTCCGTTGGGGCTGGACACGCCCCCTAAAAAAATCCCGTTTTATATACTGTAAAAATGTCATGTCTCCTCAGTGAAGCAGCAAGAATTCTAAAACCTCATAACTTTCAAACAACAACAACCCAACCATCAGTGTATCACAGTGTAAGTGCAGGGGCACCTGCCGTTCAGAGCCCCACCTCCACTGGATTCTTCATGTCAGTCATTTTCTTCTTCTCCTTCTTGATTTAAGTTGACAAAAAGGGTTTGGTTTATATAACTGCCACTTACTGGTGTACATCCCATATTCAACTCATTTTTAGAAAATGGAAAGTGAAATAAAATGAGTACATTTTTTACAGCTGACCAGAACAAATACCCCATAACAAAAAAAAAACGCGGGAAGATAGTAGTAATGAGCTCTTGGTAGCAAGCCTCTTGAATAACAGTTGAACATCTATGAAGTCCAGAATTTACACAAAATAATTGGACCCAAGACAGGAAGTCACTCTGAGCCTGATTCTTTAGTTGGAAACCTGAGAACAAACCAGAGTAAATCAAATTTATATTTGTTTCCTGGGCTGGGCACACCCCTCAAAAGGACTGGACACGACTGAGTGCTTATTGGCCAGTTATTTACTAACCCTAACCCTGACATGAACCAGCCAGGTACTAATTAATGCAGGTAACTTTGGAATGTGGTAACAAGTGTGTGTGTGTTGACCTAATGACGTGTGTCTAAAGCAACAGAGAGAGAAAGAGAGGAAAAGAGAATCGGTGGTTACAGCCAGATATTTTAACACAAAAGTATAGTTCTAAAAGGAATATGACAATCAGTAATTTACATAGATTATGTGATCACTCTTTGGAAGATTGGGAAGGGTGCATTGTGGTCTGTGTGCTAAAGGAAGCTGCCACACCGGAATCTGAAGAGTTTGAGGTGTCCGCCAAAGCTACTGTTCATTTGCAGCTAGTATTTCCGCTCCTTTTACCTCCGTTTTCACCATCCTCTTTGCGGCCAGACTGTTGACACAAGGAGAAGAAAATGTCTTAGGCTGACAAAATGAAGCAGGGACAATTCACCAACCCTGAGACCCCACGGTATGTTGGATTTGCCAGCCTTCCAAATCAGGTTCACCGCAAGTCTGTTAAGAAGGGCTTTGAGTTCACCCCCATGGTTGTGGGTGAATCCGGTCTTGGAAAATCCACCTTGATCAACAGCCTCTTCCTCACTGATCTTTACCCTGAGAGAGTCATCCCAGGAGCAGCAGAAAAGATAGAAAGAACGGTTCACATTAAGGCATCAACGGTAGAAATTGAAGAGAGAGGAGTGAAGCTTTGTCTCACAGACACGCCGGGCTACGGAGCCAAGACTGCTTCAGCACCATCATCAGCTACATTCATTTTCAGTTTGAGCCCTACCTCCACGACGAAAGCGATTTAAATCGAAGGCACATTGTCGACAAAAGAGTTCACTGCTGTTTTTGTTTCGTCTCTCCTCTTGGCCACGGCCTGAAACCTCCAGTTCATGAAGGCCCTTCCACCAGTGATGAGTAAGACAGTATCGACATCAGTAGTTGCTGATCAGGTACCTGTATTGGTAAAACTCCCAAATGTTGTTGCATCACTCCCACTTAGAAAATTTCGAATTCATGCTGGCCAAATCTCAGTTTCTGACTCAGATGTCAGCTTTAACTGTTTGTGTAAGCAGATTAATGAAGGGTTAAGTGAAGGTTTCACCAAGGCTGAGATCATTAGAACAGTGCTCAGAATAATTAACCAGGTTTAATTATTCTGGTGATATGGCGCCAAGTGTTCCTAACACCTATGTAGGAGCCACTTATCCTTTTCTGTGTTTATCGCCACCAGGGGGCGTTTTTCACTTTGAGTTCTGTGTGTCTAATCAGGGATGGGTTATTTAAGGTCTACCTTGATTGTGTTCAGGTGTTGTTGATAAGAAGGGGCAACAGTTTTCTACTGTGTTTGCTGGTTGATTTTGGATGTCAGAATGTAGGTGAATTGCAATGGAAATAGCAACGATGGACATTATGCAAACAATAAACGACTTTATTATAAATAAAACAAAGACTGGCATCCGGAATTCTTAATAGAGCACACGTAAGACCAACGCCTTCAACGGTCAACAACCAGTAGCCTAAAATACTGGATTTTAGCCGCTACAACCTATATAACTCACACAGCTGAGGTTAGCCCAGCTGTCCCCTTACCAACTACCATTCTATCAATCACACACCCCTTTAAAAACCATACAACACACAGACACAATGGAGTTACAGAAAATGCTCACTACTTTTCTAACACCACATCACCCCCCACTCTCACACCTACACCGGCACACCATACACCATTACACTCTACATTACCACCTGACACCAAACATACACCTGCACAACATGCACCGGAACAAAACACACATGACAAACATGACCGAGTCGTGCCCCTTCGAGAGCTCGCAATGCTGCGAAGTGAGTTCGAGGTTCTAGGCGGGCAGATCGGTGATCAGAGCTCAGACCAAAGTTATAGCAACATATGCAGACAGTTTGATGACGAAGTAAAAGACCAGTTCAGTGATGCTGAAATACTGAGAGGTATTCTCAGAGTGATCAAACATTTAAAAAATATGCTAATGCACAAGGATGATTTGACAATAGACGAGATGAAGTGTTTAGTGCAGTCCAATTTAGGTGGGTGAAGCAATACAGAGCTCTTCCAAGAACTGATGTGCACCAAAAAAAATGACAGCGAAACCCCCCCTTCCTTGGTTGAGGATGCTGAACCTCACATTAACACCCATGGTTAGTTCTGGGACTGAAAACATTCACACACCTGTTCCACACCAGAAACCACTGGCAAAGCCAGAAATTAAAAGCTGTCAGCCATGTGTCTCCCAAGGAAGGGAAAGTTGCATCCACTGCTTCAAGTGTCGGAAAGAGCAATTGGCTGTCTGATGGGAAACAGTAGTTCGGGAAACTGGGCGAGATCACTGGGGCGGGACCACCAGTGATCAGGGAGACAACAGAGTCCCATCCCATCCACTGCACTCTCAGGAGGACACACCACCCGTCTACATCACCTATCCAACAAAACAGTTGTACTCAGAAGAAACATGTTGCACAGCTGATTGGTGGGAGATGAACTGTGACATGCCAACTAAATGGCGTTAAATTGCAGATGCTATTGGACAGTGGAGCTCAAGTCAGTATAGTGGAAAAGGCATGGGTACAGAAAGCATTGCCAAATGTAACAATTCAACCACTTGAAAGCCTACTACCCGAACACCCTCTCAAAGTCACTGCAGCAAACGGGACTGAGGTGCCATTGGATGGATGGATTGAAGCCTTGGTCGAGATTAAAAGTATCAAACATGGGTGGGTTGCTCTCTATGTTCCACTTCTCGTGAGTCAAGAGAGTGTGGGTAGTCCACTGTTAGGCTTTAATGTGATCCAAGAAATCATAATGGGCAACACTGATTCAACAAATAACATCAATCTGGTGGACTTACTGTCAGACGCTTTGAAAATAAAGAAAAAATAATGTTTGGGTGCCTATTTTCATACTTCTCATTTCCATTTACTTCTAACTTCTTTACCCCCTCTACACATACAATGCTAAAGTGAGTAATTATAGCCTAATTCTAACATCACGAATCTCATCAAACAGATTATGCCGCATTGGAAAGAGAAGATGGACATTATCCTCGACACTGTACACCGTCATGGCCCAAACAACACAAATCACCCACGGCAGATTATTGGACAGTTCTCAAGAGGGGTCTTCTGGGATGAACTTTGGTGATCCACTAAACAACGGCAGGGGGCTCAACTTCCGTTTCGCTGAAGACCTCACCAAAGAAGACCGAGAAGCCTCAATGGCCCTGTGGCCCAAAGTAGAGCAAGTGCGGAAAGCTGGAATGAAGTCGTTTTTTGAAGGTCCGTGCGCCTTTAACAACGGTCAACGAGTTACTCCTTAAAGACACAGTAGTTCTACATTAGACTTAGACAACTTACTGTCATTTTTTATGTACAGAGTGAATACGGAACGAAATTTCGTTGCATTCAGCTTACAACGGCGTCCAACCGCTCATCCTTTTTTAAATTGGACGGAATTCATCCGTAGGTAGCCACATCTTAGCGGCTAATCTGCAGTACACTGTCCATTCATTCACCTCAATTTCAATTCAATTTTATTTATATAGCGCCACATCACAACAACAGTTGTCTCACAGCGCTTTCCAAACAGAGCAGGTCAGACCCTACTCTGAAGTTAACTACAGAAACCCAACAATTCCCACCATGAGCAAGCACTAGGCGACACAGGCAAGGAAAAACTTCCTTTTAACAGGCAGAAACCTTGAGCAGAACCATGGCTCAGGGTGGGCGGCCATCTGCCTCGGCCGGTTGGGGGTGAGGGGAAAGAGAGGGCAAGAGAGAGAGAGAGGGCGAGAGAAGGACAGAGGGAGCAGAGAGAGGCAGCCAACACAGCAACACGTAGACTAGATGAAAAATGGCAATGATATTAATGTTAATGGTGATGGTAGAAGTTATGACGGCAACAGAGCAGGGACACGGGGGCAGCAGGAAACTCCCAACCACAGATCCAGACTCCACAGCTCTAGGAACACCTGCAGGAAGTGATAGGAGGAGACTCCCAACCACAGATCCAGGCCCCACAGCTCCAGAGCCAGGAATATCTGCAGAAAGTGTTAGGAAGAAAGAGGAGAGAGAAGGGGGACGAGAAAGCACACGACTACGAGGAAAGGAGAGGGTCCAGTTAGTAACATTGTTAATGGAATGACGTTGCACCGGGAGGGAGAGAGAGAAAGGAAAGGGGAGCTCGGTGCATCATGATGCATCCCCCGGCAGTCTAGGCTTATAGCAGCACATCCAGGGGTGGACTTACTCTAACTATATGCTCTATCGTAAAGGAAAGTCTTAAGCCTACTCTTAAATATAGAGACGGTGTCTGCTTCCCGGACCCAAGCTGGAACCTGGTTCCACAAAAGAGGACTCTGATAGCTGAACGCTCTAGCGCCCATTCTAGTTTTCAAGACTCTAGGAACTTATCTTATCTTTAAGATAAGATGGGGCCTGACCATGAAGAGCTTTGTACGTAAGGAGAAGGACTTTACATTCTATTCTGGATTTAACAGGAAACCAGTGCAGAGAAGCCAAGACAGGAGAAATATGATCTCTTTTTCTGGTTCCTGTAAGAACACGTGCTGCAGCATTCTAGCATTCACACCTGTATGTGACTGTTTGCTTCCATCTCACACATGCCCACCTCTTCTGTCGACAGTGGGTGCAGTCCCTCCCCATAGCTCCACCTGCCGGTCACACCCGTCATCGACTCCCTCAGCCGCTGGTCTCCCCATCATTAGCTCCCCTCTGTCCAATAATGTCCACAGTGACGTCCAACGTCTCCCTATTCCTGTCCATATCACAAACAGACACCACTCTAGCAGAAACTCTACCCGGACTGTTAATCACTTGGTATTAACCAGCCCATTTATGCTGGCTTCCACCCACACCAAATATGATAATACATCTGTCTGCTTCAGACTTCTTAACATCCGCTAACTTACAAACAAGGGACACCTCATTCATGATCTCCTCACTGACCGCAAGCTCAACTTCCTCTGTTTGACTGAAACCTGGCAAAAACCAAATGACCTCTCCTCACTAAATGACTCCACCCCTCCGGACTTTACTTACCTCTCCCACCCCCTTAGCCATGGCCGTGGCGGAGGTTCCCGCCATGGCCAACCCCTTCTTCCAACCATATCACCCCTCAGCAGAATGGGGGACAGAGCCTTCAGTTGCTCTGCTCCCCGACTCTTAAACT